CTGGTGCACCAGCTGGTCAGTGCAGAGACTGGCTGGGCCTTCCCCTTTCCCACAGCTCCAGAGCCCCTGGGGTGAGCACCTTGGGCATTGCCCTTCATCGCTTCCTGAATTCAGCAGCAGGGAGAAGGAGGGGATGAGGAGTAGTGGTGCTCAGCTCTTGTTTTCCACAGTTCCAAAGGGCGTTACAAATGCACTGCCATGCCCCCCTAGATCCGCCCCCATTTCCTCCATTTTAACAGATGGTGAACGAGAGTCACAAGAGTTGTCTCGGATCCCATTGGAAGTTTGTGGCAGACCCAAAGGCAGAACTCAGATCTTCTGACTCTGAGACGTGTTTTACCCACAAGACTTCTTTTCTGCTCTGCTGCCTGCAGAAAGAGTGACAATTAAGGCTTGTCTAAATGTAAAAGCCATAGCAAAGTAGCATAGTGTAGGCGGTACAGTCTCCCTAGGGATGAGCATAAAGGTGCCTTTTACTATTAACCCTGTTTTCACAAGGGAAGTCTGGTCTGCAAACAGATCACCCTAAGCAGCACCAGAGGCAGAGTTTCACTATTACAATGGTTCTCAATCCTTTTGGACCCAAGGCACCCCTCAGAAAATGCCAGCTCTTAGTTTTCACTTATTTCTAGGCTATAGAAAGTTACTAGAGCAATTCTTCTGTTGCAGAGTACTCAGAAAGCCCACAGCAGGTCAGAATGTTTTTGACACTATGGATCTCTATTTGAAATATCTGAGTTTATCTTGCAAATCACATGGAGGTGTTTGCAAATCATGTGTAGGTGTTTGCTATGGCATCCTGGTTGAGAATCTCTTCACTAGTATAACCATATCAGTAACCATATTAGTCACACCTGGTACCAGCAGACTTGTACTGGTACAAAAGCTATTCGCAGACTAGGCCTTTATCAAAGGTGGAAAATGTTAGCATCAGAAGCTTGAGATTTGTCTTTTTATTCAGAGGCCATACACATTACTCTGAACTTCTTTTGATCTAGACATAGGGTTAGGAAACAACAACAGCTGCTGTTATTATGTCATCCAGTCATCTCCTCTCAAGTCTCCAAGGCCAAGAATTATTAAAGCCCCTTTTATTTTTCTTGGCTGATCCAATATACAACACAAAGCTATTATAGCAATGAGCCACATAAAAGGTCTGGCAGGATACATTTGTGGGTAAGATACTAGTGGACTAATGGTGGTGGTAGACTTGTGGTGCAAGGCTGACAATTTAGGCAGTTAGTATCAGATTTCCAAAAAGCACGCTATCCAGGATCCAAGCCAGGTTATCCAAAGGGTACAACATGGTGTATGCAGGTTAGGGATTGAGATCTTTGGAAAACATGGGTAAAAGCACTACTATGGGAGGGTCTGGGGTTTCTGAAGGAGGCAGAAAAGGAACTGAGATTTTGTTCAAAATCTGGTCCTTGCTGTGGGTGGCTTTTGAGAGTAGGTGCAGATCTCTTCAAGGCAGATTTGTACCCCCAATAAGCTGCTTAGGTGCACATTTTCCCCAAGAACCCCAAGAATTTAATCCTTTAAAAAAATCAAAACAAAAGTGATCTCAAATTTGAAAAGCCTCTCTCCTCTTCTCCCCAAAACAGGTACAGTTTGGTCTGTGCTTGTCCAAGTTTGGGACAGAGTTTTGAATCATATCTTGTTATGTCTGGAATGGTCTATCAATTCCTTCCACCCATTCAAGGGCAGTTTCAGATAAGCCTGATTCTTGGATTTCAACTGTTTGCAAAACAATCCATACGCGGTACAGATGCCTCCATAGCTGGAAGCTTCTTTAGCAAAATACAAATATTGTTCATCATATTATCAAGACTTTCAGTCCTATTTCCTGTAGCACCAAGAAGTCTTCAGGCCACAGCATCCCTTTTGCTTATACTAGTTTGCATGCCAGAACTCTGAAAAATACAGAGGGAACAACTTTTGACTAAAATAGTTCTAAAAATTAGGCTGCTCTGGAGGGCAACAACACTCCTGATGAGTAAAATCAGACTTTCCTAGTTTCATAGTTTCATAGTTGGTAGGGTCAGAAGGGACCTGAGCAGATCATTTAGTCCGACCCCCTACCATGGCAGGAAAGAGTATTGGGGTCAAATGACCCCAGCAAGGTGATTGTCTAGCCTTGTCTGAAAGACCCCCAGGGTAGGAGCCAGCACCATTTCACTTGGAAGTTGGTTCCCGATCCTAGCCGCCCTGACAGTGAAGTAGCGCCTCTAGATATCTAGCCTAAATTTACCCTCTGCCAGCTTGTGACCGTTATTTCTAGTCACTCCTGGCAGTGCTCGGGGGAACAGGGACTCCCCTGGTGCCTGCTGGTCCCCTCTGACTAGTTTGTAACAGGCCACCAGATCCCCTCTCAGCCTTCTCTTCTGGAGGCTGAACAGGTTCAAGTCCTTCAGCCTCTCCTCATAGGGCCTGCCCTGCTGTCCCCTGATCATGTGAGTGGCCCTCCTCTGGACCCTCTCCATGTTGTCCACATCCCTCTTGAAGTGAGGCGCCCAGAACTGGATGCAGTACTCCAGCTGCGGCCTGACCAATGCTGCATAGAGTAGGACCTTCCTCTTGGTAGGAAATTTGTGTTTCCTAAAATTTGCTTTCATGTCTGAGGACACCATTTTGAAAATTTCCTGTTGACCAGAGATGCTGTTTTCACTAATGCATGGTGTTTCTGAAACAAAATATGTTCCCTGACCTTGTGGTTGCTCAGTAAAACTGGTATCTGGTAACAGCACTAGTTGGGACAAATACGATATTGTCCCACATATCACATGCCCCAAATAAAACACACACCTTGTTTTAGAAAGACAGAATGTAGAGAAAAAGAGATTTTTTCCTGAGTCATGGCCAACTGTTTAATAAAAAGGATGTCCTCCAGGAAACACCAAGTGCCCAGGATGCAGCATCCCTGGAGACAGTCTGGCTGAGGCAGCAGGGACTTTCTGATGTGGCAGGACAACAACAAGGCTAAGCCTCAGATCTGTGCAAGACTATTGCTTCTTTATGGTTAATAGTTCTTCATAGAAGTACATCTAAATAATACATTGGTGTTTCCATATCACAAGCCTCATCAAGATACTGCAGACTGCCTGAAGCAGGTCACTTACCCTCAGGCAGTTCAGCAGCTCTTCAGCCAAAAGCTACTGTCTCACCAGCAGCGGTGAGAAAGTTAACACTGGACTACACCCCTAATTTTTGCAGCCTCAGGGAGAAGTCACATCCAGTTTGGTGGCCATGAGTCACAGTGTCTGCTTGTTCTCTTGCGCCCTGCTTCTATTCCAGCAAAGAAAATCAGCTTCCCCAATTTAAGATATTTTTCCCAATTTTGGAGGGCTGATTTTGGGGGGAAAGCTGCATGGGCTATGCAAGTAAATACAGTATGTTCATTTTGCTGAGCTGCTGTGAGACTCTCGCTAAGTGGACTTCCCTCAAGCCGCTGACTTTGGAGGTCTGTCTCAAGACGTCAAGGCTCTAAGTCCTCTCCCTATAGCAAGGACCTCGCAGACCCTGTTAGAGCAGGTTTCCAGAGCATTGGGGCTCCCAGCTCCACAGCAGAAAGTCTGGAAATTCTGGCATGGCTGGTTTCCTCACAGTCGTGGCCACTGAAATCCCAGGGACTTCAGCACAGGAGCCATCTGTGTGCCTGGTTGCACCTGCCCAAAACCTATGGACTCTGAAGCCCTGCCAAGTGACTGGCCCTGTTCTGGAGACCCTCGAACTCCAGAGTCTGTGACTCCTCATCTGTCCTGCCAGCCAGCCTCCTCCAATACTGGGGTAGTCGAGGCTCCAGGATCCTTAGTTGTGGGCAGTCTGGAGGGTAGGACAGGGCCAGAGGCAGGGATCCTGAAAACACTGGGTTCCTAGCCTGGGGCAAACCACCAGGAGTTCAGGCTGGATTCTAATGGATCCTTGCCTTGGATTCAGCAAAAGCTCAGCAAATGCAAGGTGCTTTCAAATATAATCCTTCTAGTTTCACTGAATCATCACCTTCTATTTCCAAAAACTTTTGGTTCATCAGAAAATTCCTGAAGTAATGAGCTCATTCCAGAGAGCAGGTTAGACCAGGGATGACCACAAATGTCACAAGCAGCCTCTGCATATGGCATGCAGAAGAACAGGGGAGGAGAAGGCAGCACAGCCACAGATAGGAGAGGGAGAAAACACAGGGCGACAGATGGGACCAGGGGTCAGTGTGGCACTCAAGGAAGGTTTGGATATTAATTTGTGGCATGCCTACCAAAAAGGTTGGTGCCCACTGGGTTAAACAAATAGCTGTTAAAGGTGGCCTAGGTCAGTGTTTCTCAACCTCTGGGTCACAACCCAAAAGTGAGTCACAAGAATACATGAAAGGGTCATAAACAAACTTTAAAAAAGGATTCGCTTTTAAAGGAGAAAAATGTAGGAAATGGTGGCTTTTCCCTTGCAGGCTGGCAGAGTTCCACCTAGGTACAGGGCTTCATTGCAGGGGTTGGACTAGGCAGATTTTTGAGTGCCCTTCTGACTCTATATTTCTATGTTTTCATGAGTTGGCATGCAGCATGCACAGGTGCACGCACATACTAACACACACACACACAGTATGACAAATGCAAAAGCTGTATTGGAAAGAGTTATTTCCAGGCTCATAAAAGGATATTAGAAACAGTGGAAAAATGAAATAAAAAACTATTAAGAGTGACTCAGTAGTGTCCCATTAACTCTGTGGGAAACTTTGCCATTTATAATGGTACTGTGGGATTATATGGCTCAGTCAGATAGGAAATGTGATCTCTTTGTTTCCACTGGTCTTTTCCATTATAGTTTTAAACTAGCAGTTTGTTCACATTTCCTCTTTCATCCTGTAAAAATGGGAGCTTTCTGCTAACCTGCCAAACATGCCGACTGTTACTCCTCTCTCTCACCACCCTCCTGCAGAGATGGCTGTACATTCATAGTTCTGTCTTGCTGTTTAAACCCAGCTGGTTATGACACTTCCCCCATTCACCCACCTATACAATGAGAATGAGACTGACTTGTCTCCCAGGCGTGTTGGATAGTTTCATTGGCTAATGTCTGGAAAAGCCTGAACTGAGAGGTCCAGATAAGCACCAACTGAACAGCATAATTCCTGTAAAAACAAGGGGAAAAAAACCATGATCCAAGAGAGCAGGACTATGCTAACCAGAAGGCTGTCTGGAAAACCAGCTGTCCTGTCTCTCTATGTTGTTGCGTATGTTTTTACAACACTTATTCCAGTGGGATCACAGCATTATGATGCTGGAATGTTGTACACTCCAAAATGGTCATCCCTGAAAAATAAGATGTACATAACAGCACTAAATGCAGCTGGATGCTAAAAATAAAGATGGGTGTTGTGTTTGGTCACCAGTTCACATGACTGTTGCAGGTTTACCTCATGTCCTTTGCTAGACCTTGGCCAACATCTTGAGCATATCTGAGGGAAAGAAAAGGCATCTTTCTTTTGTCTTATTTAGACTGAATGCTCCAGACCAGGGATCCATGGATCATTCTGCCTCCTATGACAGCCTGGAAAGGTCGTTGTCTGCCTCTGAGGGAGCTCTATAGCTACTTTTCCTGTAATGGACCAATTTCAAAGCAGCCACTGCTTGTCATGAAAGCAAGAGAAAGTGCAGTATAAAGAGAATAAACTCTGATCTGAAAATCTAGTCAGCAAAGTGAAGAACTGCCCACTGAGATGGGCTACATCTTTTTAATCAAAAATAGTATCTGTCAATGGAGGAAAACAGTCCTTGAAAAAGAACAAATGTAAAGTTGCCATGAGGTACAGCAAGTAAGCGCATGTGTTTCACAGCAAGCCTTAGGGCCTATGATAACTAAATGGCTGGTGAGTTTTCTCCCAGCAGGAATGCCTGCAACTACTGTATAAAGGTTTGGTGCACAGGGACAATAAAGGGATCACAGATTCTGAGCTCTATGGGATACTCTCTGTGCTATGCTTTTCTCAAATTCTCCTGGCTTGATATAATATAGCACGTGCAGTATATTTAAGTAGCAGTGTGGTGCAATGCATTCTTAGGGCAGATTCTTTCATGCCATAGACAATATAATTTAAAATCATAGGGTGGAAGATCTCATTTGAAGGTAAGGAAAATGAAATGATGCCCACGCTTATAATCATATGATTTCTTTTCTCCAGTATGATTCCTGTGGAAACTTGACATACATACATTGCACGTTGCATCATATTGCATTTGATACTGTATGTATTGAAAGACAAACTGTGAAATATGTTCTATCAGACACCGAAATACAGTGCACTCTATTGATCTTGCCCCCTTCTTACCAGCATGGAGCTCAGGTCCAGCTCCTTGTGGCAGTGAGCAGGGACCGCCTGAATCTCTGAATTGATTGGGAGGCTTCTGATTTGATATGGACCTTTTAATGGGTCTCCCTATTTGATTCGGATTTGGAGATTCAGTCCCCGAATCAGGTCAAATCTCTTCCAAATTGAATCGGCTACCAAAGCTTCGCACAGCCCTAGTTCATCCAGTTCTGGGTGCCACACTTTAAGAAGAATGTGGAGGAGCTTGAGAGAGTCCAGAGAAGAGCCACTCATATGATTAGAGGCCTGAAGAGCAAGCTGTACGAGGAAAGGCTGACATAATGGGAGTGTTCAGCCTAGAAAAGAGAAGACTTCGGAATCCTCTGGAGGGATTTGGTGGCAGCTTACAAATATATCAGAGATGAGCTCAGGGGCTAGGCAAACAACTATTTGCCAAAGCACCCCAGGGGAAAACCAGGAGGAATGGTCATAAACTCCTGGAACAGTGGTTCCCAACCTTTTTTTTGCCATGACCCACTGCTGGGAGTGGAGTGCAGTGATGGCACAGTGGCAGGGAAGCTCCTAGCACGCAGTGCGGCTCATCCCTTGTGTGGTGTTGCTGGCATTGCCCCCACAACCCTCATTTGAGTCGCAACCTGAGGTTGGGAACCGTTGTCCTAGAAGAAGGTTTTGGACTGGATATAAGGAAAAACTTCACAGTTCGTGTGACCAGACTCTGGAATAGACTCGCAGCGGGGGTGGTGCAGGCACCTACCCTGGAGATTTTCAAAAGGAGACTGGATGCACACCTTGCTGGGGTTATTTGGCCCCAGCCGTCTTTCCTGCCCAGAGTAGAGGGGCTGGACCTGATGATCTCACAAGGTTCCTTCCAGCCCTAAACTTCTGTGAATCTATGAATATTGATGAAGTGCATAACTCACTTAAGCACATAGCATCTTTCAGTTCTACTGTCTACTTTGTAATAGAATTACACACCATTTAACTGCATAATTGGTGAACGTGAAGTGACAAGAAGCTGTCAGTGTCAAGATTCTTAAGCAGCCTAGAACTGACTAGGTCCTTTTAATTTCACAGCTACGATTTGGGGAACAGGGGGTTCTGAGAAACAGGGTGGGTATAGAGCTTAATGTGTAGGCAGTTCCCATAGTTAATGAACATTGTGTACTTTGAGTTGGGGTAAAACTCTGGCAAAATGCACGGTCTATTTCCAGTCCTCAGGCTGTGCACTTAAACAGAGTGCAGCGTGTTGATAAATAGACTACCCCAACATGGTAGTATATAAGGTAATGGTTTAGGCCAACATTTAAAGTTATTTTCCATATTATCTATCATCAGTGTAAGGAAACAGGCATGTGCATCACCCAGCCACTGCCGAGT